CCTCATCACTTGAGAAGGTAGGTGATGCGGACGTCGTGGAAGACATTTTGTCCCGTAACGCTCGCCGTACTGTTGGTGGGGGAGAAGCGGTTGGGGGGGAGATGTTCATGTTGCTGCGGTCTGCAGTCTGACCGCTAGATGTCGCTAAAAGTTACACACTGTAGCTTTAATTCAGGCCTATTTTGTACTGCACATTAATTACTACATATATTAAAAGTAGAAATGTATTTTTATACAGTGTTTGACAGGAACAAGTAGGGCTTCAAACACGGCACACATGAATGATTCCAACTCCAAAACACACAAACACAGCGTGCCTTTGTTCCCGTCAACCACTGTCTTTTTCTCTACTGTGGGATTAAAAAGTAAAAATATCACCATATGTTTGTGTGTTTTCCCAAAGCCATGCTAATCACTCAAAGTTAATCTGTCTATATTAAGGATCTTTAAAGATCCACTTAGGGTTGAAGAAAAGACGAAATTCTTAATTTCTTATCTTTCTTATAGTCATATTTAGTTTTCCAACATTAGTTTAGATGTTATTAAGAAATAGAAGATGTGATGAAATCAGCCTATATAAAGTGCAGAAGTGCTTTTCTTTCCTCTTTTTAGTTTCATACATTTTTACAACATTTTAAGAGGTAGCTGGCTAAAAGTCTGCCTGTCACAAGCACACTTACAAGAAAACCTTTACTGTAGCAAATAAAAATGAATTATGTAACACAAATAGTGCTTCTGACTTAGTAAAAACCAGATTACTACATAATATAAATCCTTTCTTTAGAAAAGAGAGCATGAATGTTGATCCAGATTTAATGGGAGCTAGCATGTTTAAAAGTAGGTCATTTAAAATGAACACATGCTCTAACTATTAAAAGCTGTTCCTCTCTGCCTGCCTTTCCCTCCATTACTGCTTACCAGAGAGCTTTTTTCTTATAAAATATTTACATTCAGCTTCAAACACAAATGTTGGTGCCACACACAGGCTACTTTGATACCATTTTTACAGGGGCTTCTACTAAGACCAGATACGGCCATGTGCACACTTGTTTGTAATCCTCTGGTCTGATGATATAATACAGCTAAAGTTTATGATAAGTTCATTTGAAATTCCTCTGCTTTTTATGCAGTGATGAACAACCCAGAGTTGCCCTTGGATCCTAACTTGCAGACCAGCAACCTTCTCATTACCTTCCTCAAGTATGCCTCCATCGTAATGCAGGATACGAAAGGTAAACAGATGGCCTGGGGTCCTCCTTTTCCCTTTGTCTTGAATAATTTGTCATTCCGCCGTCTGTTAATCTTCACTGTCTCTTTCTTTTAAATAACCATTCAGTGTTTAATGGTTCTGGACAGCAGAGGCGAATCATAACCCTTTTAGAGTGATGCACTTCCTGCTCTGGTTCAAAGCCAGAACTCCTCTTAGATCGAGTCAGTTGTGTGTGTGTTTTAAAAAATATATATTTATATATATTTTTATCTGCTCTCATCAAAGAAAACCACTGCTACAGAAAAATTTACTCCTGGCTGGTTAAGAGCCAAGAACAGTTTACATCAGGTGTTGTAAGGAAGGTTGTTGACGATGAACAGACCAGTTTAAACAAATTTACATCAATGTTTAAAACACTAAGACCTGTATAGAGTCTAACTTTTAGACTCTATACAGGTCTATACGGGGGGATATTTTAACTGGTACAGAGATATAAATGTACTTTTAAAGAAGTAGGATCATTTTATTTGTGTGCAAATTCACGTTTTTTCATCTGTGATGAACGTTTATTTAAATATACCGTATTTTCACGACCATAAGGCGCACCGGACTAAAAGGCGCACTCTCAGTTATGTGTCCCATTTCTGTATTTAACACACACATAAGGCGCACCGGACTATAGGGCGCGTTTTTTATATACAGGTACATGTCCTCTACTACC